AACCACTAGACCACGAAGGCTTCATGGTTGAACAGGTCCAAATACCCGTCGGGAACATTGTATTACACAATGCTATGCCTCAAGAGGGCGTTCGGTCAGATAAATCTGGAAATACATATATATATATATGCCACTGACATCCAGCTTTAAATTATTTCTTTATCTTTCAGCTGACTGCCAAGATCCTGGAACTCCATTGGCAGGTTTTCGATACACGTCTTCACTGAGTCACAATGGTATTATCCACTTTGGTTGTCTGACAGGATTCACACTACAGGGAAGTGAATCTCTCATCTGCCAAAATGGCCTATGGAACACAACTATTCCACAATGTTCACGTAAGTAATGAACCATTTTTATCTAATTATAATACCTTGTAATTGTTTGATCGCTTTGTTGTTGTTTGACGAGTATCAGATGCTTAGGTCATTTTACCCCTGACAGGTTTAGACTCGTCACTCTTTAATTATTATTAATACATCAATATCAAAGTAATAAAGGAAACTGAAAACAAAATAGAGTGAGTAACGTAACATGAAATAAAAAAATTGGTGGGGGAGGGATTTATTTAAATTGCTAATTTCCCAGACATAAATGTCTCAAAACTAGATACTAGATCAGTGGATCTGAATGAAGTTTTCGAGAATGGCTTGTTATATTCCAAGGAAGAAGTAATTAACTTTCGGTGATTATCCAGAGTAGGGTGTAAATATGAGGCTTATGTAAAAAGAAATGTCCCAGACCAGACATTCCAATCTTAATTGAACTTTCTGGAAGAGACAATTCACAAATTTTGTTGACAATCCAGATTTGGGAGTCATTTAAACTGCTGAAGAACTAATCATTGGATCTAATTGAAACCTTTTAGAATGGTCCCAGAAAAGAAATAATTATGTTTTGGTGACAATTTTGAGTGTGGATGCAAGGGCCATTCAAAGAGAAACAACGCAGGCCAACCAAATTACTAGGAAGAATTGATTCATTTTTTAAGTTGATCCAAACCTAAACATATCAAAAACTGATCAATGGATTTGAATGAACCTTTCTAGAATGTTCGAAGAAAGAAATGATTGGTGACAATCTGGAGAAGGGTGTTGATATTTTATTTTATTTTTATTTTTATTCGACTTTTCACTGGCATCAGTACAAAAATATATAAATATATATAGAAAAAAATTCTAGTGAGAGAGCGTATCAACAGGTGCATGTACCTCTAACACAACACGCTCTCCAAGGGTGTGAATATGAGGCTTATGTATGACCATATAAATGGCGCTTTATATAGATGTTGCTCAAGGATGGCAGCCATAGATGTCGCTGTGAATGACAGCCATATGTTAACCTACAGCAAACAAAAGCATTAGAAAGGGACCTTAGATTGATATTAATATTGATTCAAAATTGATGGCGCCCCTTTCTGATGAGATCCTGTGTGGTCCAAAATATTTAAATATTTTTCAATTTATTATTTTATTGCTTATTAAAATGATATGGACCATCATTTAATGTGTTCTAATTCCAAGCAATGTAGTAAAACTTTATTTATTCACGAAACACAAATCAACAAATACATGCTGTTTTTCATTATGGCCGTGAGATACCTTATTTACAATTAACAAATTACACATAAAGGTACATCATAAAAAGCAAAAGTTAAATGCAGAAATTAAATAAAATAGATACAAAATATAATTATTAAACAGTACTGTATGCCAAAGTCAACAAATTAATAAAATAAAAGTACTGTAATCTATACCTAAC